AGCGGCCAAATTTGGGCTCCGCATCAACACAAGCAAAACTGTCTGTCTCTTTCAGCCTTCACCAAAGATGCAGTCTACAGTGGTGCCACGAATCAGCATTGGTGCTGAAGTATGGGAAGCCATCTCCCACTTCTGCTATCTTGGGAGTGTGGTTTCGACTGACCAGCAGCTACACAATGAGCTTCGTATCCGCGCGTCGAAGGCAGCGACGGCATTCGGGAAGTTGGAGTACAACCATCAGCTTACCACTGGCACGAAGCCGATGGTGTGCAAATTCATGGTGCTGTCCGTTCTTCTATACGGCAGTGAAACGGAGACGATGTACCAGCGGGATGTGCGATATCTCGAGCGGTTCCATCAGCAGTGTTTGCGATGGGTTTTGCGCATCGGTTGGGGCGACAGAGTTGCTGAGACGGAAGTGTTGCGACAAAGTGGGATGAATGCAGTGGACGGCATACTTTTGCTGAGACACCTGAGGTGGCTCGGTCATGGGCGCCGTGTGGATTCGACGCGGATACCGAATCAGCTGTTATATGGTCAGCTGAGCACTGGGAAGCTGCATGCGGGGAAACCGAAAATTAGTTTTCAGGACATAATCAATGTGAGTCTATTACGTTTTAATGTGTACTACAGATGTTGAAAATCAACGTACAAGGTGAGACCTAATCACAAAGACAGTTGCCGAGGTGTAAGAGAAAGCCCTCGTGCAAGCGGAGAATAAACGGCAGATGCGGAATTGACAGGCGCCAATAGGATGTACTTCAACAACGTTGGGCGCATGGCGCAGTAGCACATGCAGTCGCGAGTGCCTGAGTCAGGCAGGCCTAGTTAGACACGCGCAAGGCCGCTCGGGAAAAGCATACGACGGGTGCTGCTGAGAACGTAAGCAGAACCGGCGAAGTGTTGGTAGGTACGCTGCATTTGATTTACTAAACGTGTAATTGCGTGCTGAGTTTCATTGTGTCGGGTGATCGATTTGCTGCATTTAAAGGCTCACTTTGTCAAATCATTTAGATTTCTGTCAGAATAGGCTTCTTTTTACCTATACATGTCGCTTAAGCAGACTGTTTTTCGCCGATTGTTGACACCCATTTAATGCGTTTGCTCATTTAGCGGAGAATTATGTCTGTATAGCCGTATGCTTTATTCGATAACTATTATGTGATATTACTAGTGCAAGTGATTGGCTGTGGTTTGACATCCCCGGTGTTACTGCGTTTGACGTGCATGTTAACAAGGTGCCTACTTGTATAACACCCTCCACCTCCATTACTGGCTCCAAGATACTGTGAATCGTTGCTGGAGGGGACGTGGTACACCGTCCTCGTGAGCATGATAGGCTCAAACAGTGATTCCATTCAGTGTGGAGAGGAATACGGCCCAGCCACCGCGTTGTGTATGTCTGGTATGCATGATCTCCTATGTAGGCACGAATGCTTCTGCTTTGACTGCTGAAGTGCGCGCAGGCTCCGTTGATGAAAAGTGACTCTCATCAATATACATACCGCTCTTATTACTTCGGGCTCACACTGGATAAAGGGCGTGTGGATAGAGCTGTGGCTGTTGCAGCGCAAGCCACCCATAATCAAACCGCAGTCGCAGACGGGCTGGGGCTTTCCTATGGAAGCCACAGTGACTAGAAAAGCGGAAATTGAGTGCCAAAAGTATATATATATATATATATATATATATATATATATATATATATATATATATATATATATATATATATATATATATATATATATATATATATATATATATATATATATATATATATATATGGTTCGCGGCATCCGGTTTCGGATTTGCCTCTCGCTGTGGCCAGCCACAGGACGCCTGTGCCTACAGAGGGACCATGGGTGGCTTGCGCTGCACCACCCACAGCTCCAACCACACACCCCATATCCAGTGTAAACCCGAAGGAATATGACCGCGAGGCATGTGCATGGGAGCCACGTTTCATCAACAGAGCCGGCCCACACTCCTTCACAGGCAAACACAAGCACGCTGTATTTAGGAAATCAAGCGCACACAAGGCGGTGGCTCGACCGTAGTCCCCTCCACACACAAACCGTGTGCACACAACCACTCTTCGAGCCTAGAACGGCCACGAGGACCGTGCGCTCCGTCCCCTCCCGCAATGATCAAATGTCTCCTAGTGCCAGTATAGACGAAGTGGTGGGTAATAGACAGGTAGGCGACTTTCGAAAACGCACATCAAGCGTAACCAGAATGGCGATGTTAAGCAACAGCCAATCCCATGAAATGAAATAACCGATAATATAGGTCGAAAACATCATATGGATATACCGCTAAATTAGCCCATGATATAAATGGATTATCAATATAGCCAAGAAAAATTGTAGGTGGCAGATAAAGAGATCAAAAAACATTAGCAGGAGGGAGAAAACAAAACGAAGTTAAGCACCTTTCGTTTAAGCGACATCTGCAATTTAATAGATTATTTAGGTACGCATTAAAATGAGGTAAGAAAAATTTGACCGATGCAGCCGCGACCATGGCGGAATCCAGTCTATTCTCCCCGCTGTAGCGAATCGCGATAACCTGCGAAGTAAGATGAACGCCAGATGTTTGCAGACGACGAAAACAAACTTATACCACTGTAGTTGGAGCACGTTGTGCGCAGACCCCTTTTTAAGATGGCGACTACTATCGATTCATGCCGAGACGATGGAACCTACCCTTTTGACCAGACTTCTGATAACAAAGTAGTGAGCTATCGAACTAGCAAACAGCCATGTTCAAATAAAGCGGGAGCTGAACCATTACTGCCGGATGTTTTATAAAGATGCAAGAGGCGGATTTCCTGCCAGTGCCGCTTGGCACGTTTGTAAGCTGTCACAGATAAGGGCAATGTCGTAAGCATACTCAAATTCAAGAAGTCGTTGACCTGGAAGCAGCGCCACAGCTTCTAAGACGTGTCTTGTGAACGCGATTCCCATGACTTCGTCAATAGCGAAGTTGAAGAGGAAAGGTGACAGCGGGCATCCTTGTCTTACACCGCTGGAGATATTGTAGGGCGGCGACAGCTTGTCGTAAGTTCTCACACTGCAAGAGCCAAGCGCGTAAAGCGTTCGCATGATATTTACATATTACTCGGGCACAGCTTTCCTTGGCAGACAGTCTTAAAGAACAGATAGATTCATTGAATCGCAGGCCCCTTTGGTGTCGAGGAACACGACAACAGTGGGCGGCCCATATGTGTGACGGTGCTCCAACAACTGACGTAATGTTAATATGTGGTCGATGAATCCCCGACCACGAGGAAACCCGGCTTACTCTTCACGAATCTGGTTTTCACGAGTGCAAGTCAGTCTGTGAAGGATTACAGAGTCTAGCAATTTGGAGGCGATTGTGATTAGACTGTTTTCTCCATGGTTGCTTCATTCCGAACGCGAGCCTCCTTCGATGCTCTTGACAATAACGGAGCAGCTCCAGTTGGGACAGTTTCCTGCTCCCACAGTTTCACTAGCAACTTGTTTAATCATTCACAAGACCAGGTCCCCCGAATTCTGGAGGAAGACCATCTGGTCCTGCGGCTGTATTTAACTTCAGCAGTTCGATCTTACGTTCGACTTCTGAGAAAGAGGGCAGATCCAAATGGACAGCCCAGAAAGCAGGACGATCAGTGGCCGATAAGAAATCTGGCAATTCCGGTCGATTAAATTGACTTTCAAAGTGCCCAGCCCATCGCTCCAAGCGTTTTGACAAATGATGGATAGGCTGTCCACTATCATCACGTATAGTTGCACTAAGACCAGGACTCCTGCTGCGTGTTTTCCGTATCAGACGGAATAAATTCTGATGGTTACCAAGGGCAGCGGTTATTTCCATCTCTGATGCAAGATGAGACCACGGAGATTTGCGGTCTCTTCTTAGACTACCACGGAGTTTTGCCCGGAAGTTTCTGCGAGTCTCATTGTGTTCGCTTCTAGCCGGAATGTGCCGACGAGCATCGACAAGTTACAGAGACTGCGAAGAGAAGCAATGTTCATGTTGGCGATTAGAAGTATCACATGAGGATTTAGGAGAGAAGTATTGTCCAAATGAAAGTACCTTTCGCTTTCGACTCAACAGCTTCATTAATAACACGACGTAATAACTAGTGACTAACAAGCACGTCAACAGAATACAAATTTATAATCCGAACAGAAAAGTAATGGGTAGCCGGCCCAATCCAAGGCTGTGAAAGAAAAGGCTCGGTAAATGCAGCCATGAAATGCGAATCCATGCCGCGGAGTAGCAAGATATCAGACTCACAAATGGTGGGCGGTAAACTAGGCGACGCGTGGGTGAATACCCATTTACATTATAAGTCACGAACGGAATAGGGAGGGTAATAAGAACCAGAACAACAAATAGGCCCTGTAAATGAGTTTGCTTCGAATGACGGTCATTGAATAGGAAGTAGCTGGGTTTTTGTGCGGCTTTTAAACGTAACAATCCCACGACTGTTGGAGCAGGTTCTTGAGAGCGTGCTGATAGTCTGCTGGAGAAGTGAAGTAAAGTGTCTTCGTTCAATCGCCACGTCGGTCCAGACGACGTGCTGGGATATGTCATAGTAGAGGGAACGGATTGCACTAACTCAGGATCAGAATATGCTATGGCCATTAGAGGTGTAGAACCAGTGACAAAAGAGTGATGTGAGAACTTGAGAAGAGTGCTGTTCGAGGTGAGTTACCAAGGTCATGTTAGAGTAATGGAAGGCACAAGGACATCACAGTGCGTTGACAAATTAGGCCACGGTAGAGGTGAGCGAAGTGGGTGACAAGCATTGGTAGGTCAAGGCGAAGTAATTACGGATCATAGAAGAAGAAAGTAAGTTTACGCACAAAGAGCATTGCTGAATATAGTGGATCATCGAAATAAGAAGATCGATGAGCCGCATTAAATCGATGAAAGGTTTACTACCTCTAGTCGACATCAGCGCACAGCACGGTGGTTGGAAATCTGCGGGTAGCGGTAAAACAGCTTACCAGCAGTTGTCCAACGCCGAGATCTTCGTCGAGATTGGTGGTCGGGGTGATAGATTCATCGGTTATCACGGGGTGTTCAAAAGTGGTATTCTGCAAGTAAAATGAGAAATAAACGGTGAAGTGCACTTCGCGAGTTGAATGTGGGAGAAACGTCTCACGCTTGAAGAGCAGCACGATACCAAAGTGAGAGGTATTACTTATGAGTGGAAGGATTTTGGTGAGTATTTTTGTTCGTCGCAATTAGCCGACAATTCAGATATGTCAACCAGCTATCCGGAAAAGCACCAGACGGCCGTTTCACCCTATTGGGGCTCATCAGTGGTGCGCATCCTTCGGTCCTCTGCGGAGGATCAAACCCATGACTGCTAGTGGCTCTTGCCAACTAGCCCGCAGCTTATGCAGCTGCGCCATGGAGGACGGTACCCGACCATCACGAATTGTTAGCTAAATGCGATATAGCCCGACCCATCCTCCACTGCCATGCGGATGACAGCGGTCGGCCTTCCGGCGTCAGGACTTCCCGGTTACAGCAGCTATGAATCGACATAGCATTTTGTGGAATCCGTAAGCCCCAATAGGGCGAAACGGACGTCTGGTGCTTTTCCAGATAGCTGGTCGACATATCTGAATTGTCGGCTGATTGCGACGAACAAAAATACTCACCAAAATCCTTCCACTCATAAGTAATACCAATTTGCCCTTACGGATTCCACAAAATGCTATGTCGATTCATAGCTGCCGTAACCGGGAAGTCCTGACGCCGGAAGGCCAACCGCTGTCATCCGCATGGCAGTGGAGGATGGGTCGGGCTATATCGCATTTAGCTAACAATTCGTGATGGTCGGATACCGTCCTCCATGGCGCAGTTGCATAAGCTGCGGGCTAGTTGGCAAAAGCCACTAGCAGTCATGGGTTCGATCCTCCGCAGAGGACCGAAGGATGCGCACCACTGATGAGCCCCAATAGGGTGAAACGGCCGTCTGGTGCTTTTCCGGATAGCTGGTTGACATATCTGAATTGTCGGCTGATTGCGACGAACAAAAAAGTGAGAGGTGTAAAAGAGGCGAGGGAGTTCCGTTTGCTTGAGCCAAACTGAAAAGAAGAAGACATAGCAGTGCGATAGTACCTCGTGGCGACGTTTCGACGCAACATCACCATCAGGTTAGGTGCGGATTGGAGATATTTGTGAGGTTGCCAGCACCTAGCAAAGCTCCAAGCGGTGAGCTGTGAAGCACAAATTAGACTGCTGAATCACTCGGCCACCGGTCGGTATCAGAATTAGGAAATCACAAAAACAAAGGAGAGATGGGGAGCACAGGAAAAGTGAAAAGTAACAGCAAACAAATTCCCGACAAACTTCACCGCAACGACGCCAAAAACGACGGGATCGCTATCTGATGATGGGCAATGGTGCAAGGAGTGCTGGTGGGAAGCTAACAATTCTCTGGAAGAAAAACCTTGCCAAAATGTGAAAACAAGATACAAACCAGCAACTTAAAATTAAGTCTAAAGACCGATACAGCGTGAACATTAAAACGAGAAGGTGGGGACCGCGGTTACCAAGATACTCTAGTCCTCAGCAAAGAGGAAGCCGCAAGTGATCGCGTGCCTCAAAATGACACGAACATAGCAGATGAGTGTTGGAACAAGCGTTGCCCGTGAACATGTGGGGTATAGTCAAACACTTCGGCTGGCAGTTCCAAAGGCACCGGGTTCAAGATGCCGTATTATTATCTCTACCTGACGAGTGTAAGGGAGTGCGAAATGGTTTGTAGGGTGCAGTGTTTCATGGTGGCTGAAGGGAGCACAAGCCTGACTTGTAGCCCGGAGGTCAGGGGTTCGAACCTGTGTAGGGAACCGCGTGACCTTCGCAGCGTACTTAGCCCACGCACGACTGGTGGTGGTTGCGTGGTAGTAAAGCGTCGGTAATGCATACTGACGTGCTGCTACTGAAGCATAATTCAGATAAAATCCCGGTGACCGAATTGACCAAAGTTCACTTCAATGTGAATCGATGTCCAGATTGAGATTGTGTCTCGCAATCCATTCACACAATGCGTGCTTCAAAACGAGTAGTCCAACAGCCCAGGTACTAAGGTAATTTAAACACAAAGGGATTACAGAAAACCTATCGTTTGGTATACCTGATAGACGATTTCAAGGTGTTGTAAATTTGGCTTTCTGCTTGCCGCAAACAATAGGTGATTCAGAATGTTCTACAACATGAAAGGAATTGCACTATTGACCAGCCTGTGCTTCAAAATGAACCCTCAAATCAGTCAGTAACCACTGTGACGAAAAGTGTCCGTCGCGATTCAGTGGTTTAGGTGTAGAGGTTTCGGCTGACATCCCAAATGTTACGTGGTTCGATAAATGCTGCTATCTCTGTCTGATGAGATCAAACATGATCGAAATGCGTCGTGGAATGTAATGTGTTGCGGCCGGGTAGTGTCTAGCATTGATCTACTGCAGAAAATGCTACGAATGTTTGTAATCTCCTGCCATAATAAGATGGCCGTGTGAGAAATAAGAGCTGAGTGCGCGATGCTGATCGAGCAGGTGACAAGCGGCAGGGAGATAGAGGACAAACTCCGAAGTAGGATGGAAAACCGTCATACATTCACTGAATCTGTTCACGCACAGAACTGCGTTCGAAGCAGCAAACATGCGAGATTAACTAAAGCAGAGATAAATATAGTGAACATCTGTGTGTGGATGTTTAAGCTGCTGGCGGAGTGGAAACACGAGGTCAACGCATCTGTCATTAAGTTTGAAGGCAGCTTGGCTCCGAGTGACCCCACATTTTTGGGACCAGTGAGTTACCGAAGAATGATGTACACAAAGAGTTACAAAATAATGTTAATGAGGCCAATGCTTGGATTAGCTTCACAAGATCTCCAGTAGGTATGTATAAAAATGGGAACAAATGTGCGCAACTGTCTGTTTGAGGCAACTTCATCCATTGCAGCTAAGCCAACAACTAGCAAGCCACCATAATTTTCCAGCGGCGACAGAGGTATGTAGTTGAGTCCATGCATGTTGTTCGGATAAAGCCTCGGTTTAAGAAGGATAGCCAAGAAGATGGCATACATCAACGTATAAGGTGAAATCAGAAGAGCCAAATAAACGGCAAAAAAACAGCCGGTTGAATCATTTTTCAGAATATCCATAAGAGAGCTTTAGAATTGTGTAACTGTCCACAATGACCGACATCGAACTTGGCGCAGAGGTACTCGGAAGGTATAAAATCAAAACCGAAAGGTCCTGACAGTAGAAACTCAAAACGGTCAGTCTATGTCTAGTATTCGGTACTTTCTGTGGTTTAACTTAGGCACTGCAGAGTGGGGTTGTAACATATTTTCCTGCAGTTATCCTGTTACTATGACTGACACCTATAATGCACATGCTCTTATACCGTCTCCCAAAAAACATCAGTTGCCACTAAATCCCCGAAGTATCTAAAATCCACTAAGTCACCTGGACTGCGAAGTCGCTGGGGTAAGCCGACTGATACACCGGACGATGCACTCTCTAAGTTCAAATGTATCCAAGAGGAGTTGGAAGGACTCAAAATAAAACTGGCATTTTATGATCACCTGGCGACAACACTTAAAATGTTGGAACCTTTGACTGTTCTACTGCAGACGACGGCAAGTCCAAATAGAGATTATATAAAACCCGCCGGTAACTTCATTGATGTTGTTGCAGCATAAATGTTTAGTAGAACAAGATGCGCTAAAAACGCAGTGGTTTTCAATTTGCCCGATAAAATGCCGATAAAAACACAGCAAAAAGTCCTGCTTAAAGCAGGTAATATGGTAAACGCCCAGTGCAGATGTACAAGGTTCCGTAAGAACATCTAGCCTAAAAACTGTCCCGTACTCTTTCAATTTAGTGATGAATTGACGGCAAAAGAGTTCAACAAAAAAGCGCACAGATATCGGAAAACACTATCTTTAAAACACTAAGGATATCGCTTGACAAAATGCCCCTGCAAAGGGAAGTCTGGCGAAGTTAGCCACTGCAGCCACCGAAAAGCCCTCAAGCCGCTAGTTCCGGCATAGCTACTAGCACGAATGCCAAGATTTTGCTTGAGCTAATTAGCCGCAGGGGGAATCCAGTCAAAGGAGACGGAGCAGCTCCTCTCAATATCACTTCGGCAAATAGTCCGACCAATGCACTGGCTGAAACCACTACGCTCAGTGCAGAAAGGTCTAACTATTTGACTAAGATACCTTCTCATTCTTCGAAACGCAAGTAATTTACTAAAAGAAGTCAAAATAGAATTTAGAAGACCATCGTCAGCAGCGGTGCATCATGTGTTTCACGTAAATGCGATAAGTATTCCATGCTGAAGGAACCATCCGCTCAGGTTCCAGTGCGTAGCCCTAACTCATCAGTTTCGGTACCCAAACTACTGGAGGTCGATATGGACCATACAAACAGCACACCGGGAATCAAGTTAGATCGTGGCCAGAAAGATAACATGCGATCAAACTATAGTAGCAATACATTAGGAAACCTTATGACCACCAACTCCTGTAAGGATAGAAATAATGTTCCCTCAAATTACTGAATCGCGTACAAGGATTGATATAGTAGAGTGCCCTGATCCTCGGAACTCACTTGGGCCGAAAGTAAAGTATATTTTCAAAGCCCCGTACTACAGCCATATCCACAATGGCCGTGCGCGTAATGCAGGCTACAGACGTAACGGAGGTCTTCCTTACTTGAAAGTCACTTCCCAACAACCTTTCGCGCCTACTGCTATTTCAATACCCTACCGGGTATTGGAATACTCCACAATAACGTTGAGCATATCAGTCTATCTACAACAAAGCACCCTTTTACCTAGTGTCATCGGTTTTTCCGAATCCTACAAACTCCCATTCATCAGAACCTCCAAAGCCACAAAAATTTTTAGGTTACTCGGCGGCAGCTCCGACACCGATCGGAGAACATCAGATGCACAGAACACCATGGAGCCCCACGTTCATCTGATTCACCTAACTTGCTTGTCTGCGAATACAACAGATCTTCACAGGATGCTCCCACCTCCGCCGCAAATTCCCTTGAACTACCCATATTCCGCCAGTCCATAGACCTGCCTAAAACGCACGGAGATATAAACATTCTTCTTATTAATGCTCCCTCCCTAAACAATAAAATGCATTATCTCTGCCTTGCTACATATTTGTCGAACTCTGCAATTATTCTAGTTAACGAAACATGGTTTACTGATCAGACACCAGAACCACATTATCATATCCCCGGATTTATTAGCTTCACTAATATACGATGCAATAGCCGAGAAGGTTGCGTGAAATACATCGAAAAAGTAACTCCCAAGTCACCTTTGGTTGAGCCGATGCTTATCGAGTTCGCCGATTCTGTTTGGACAACGGCCGAGATAAATCAGCGCATCATTCTCATAGAGTGCATCTACAGTCCCCATATATTGACAAAACTGAAACCCGACTTCTCGCGGACATATTCAATTGCATAACAGACCATCCGGCTAAGTACAAACTAGTCGGAGGGGACTCCAATATGCCAGAAGTACCGTGGCATTCCATCAGCTGTAGTGAAATATGAAGGTCCGGGTATCTCTATTCTCTTACAAAACATATTTATCTTGTAAATGAAGGTTAGCACTGTTCCGCATCCCTGGAAACACGCTG